ACACACACACACACACACATACACACATACATACATACACGTACACACATCATACAAAAGTTGTAACACGAAAACTTCAAGGTGCGTTTTTTGGAACAGCTAGCACAGGCAAGTGCCTATTTATGCACAAGACCAACATCAACGTTGAGGCACATTTGAAAACCGTCCTACCCAAATAATCAAAATCGAAATCAATTGTCATAGTATGCATATATGTGAGGCAGCGCGGTGGAATCAGGCTCTCGTCAAAATAATCAAAGTGAAGAAACTTGCATTTTTAGGCAGGTTTGTGAATTTTTATCAAATTTTCGTTTTTTGGCTGAACACCTTTCATGCCCATTAAAGAACTCATTTCTGAGTGGATTTTTCTGAAAAACATTGATTAAAGGCACAAAAAATGTAAATTTTCAGTTACCACGGACTCTTAAGCTAAGGCAATAACTGATCTTCGGTGGCCATTTTTTCTCTAATTTTACCTCTGAAAACGAATGAACCCCACCTCCTTCTTTCGCAAATGTCTCGACTTGTATTCAAGATAAATGGATTCTTTTTCATTAAAATAAAGACAAGTGAACAAGCTTTAAGGTGATACCAATAACTCTACATGTCCAAAAATTGACGAGAGCCTGATTCCACCACGCTGCCTCACATATATGCCTGTCTTTTTAACTAAGTTTCGGTTAAAGAAAACAGGGATTTAAAAGAAAGTCAAATTAGAGTCGTTATTCCTCCTTTTCTTTCAAATGTCACAAATAGCTCCCAAATAGTGCGTTTTCAATTTTGTTAACCCCTTCAATGCTGAAAATTTTCCATCAAAATCTGTACTGACAAGATAAAATGTTAATTCAACTTTAATTCATGGAATATTTAAACGCAGGGAATTGTTTCAGAATAAACAAAATCACAAGCTGTGACTATACCAACTAAAACTTCTTTTGTCAGCCAGATGAAACAATACAAGAGTGGAAAATACAAGCCAGAACATACGTCTACTCAGCAGTAAAGAGGTTAAAAAGGAAAGAGAAAGAGAGGAAGGCAAGGAAGGAGATGGGAGGACAACATTGCAGAGCGGACAGAAGAAGAAGAAGAAGAAGAAGAAGAAGAAGAAGAAGAAGAAGAAGAAGAAGAAAAAGAAGAAGAATCTAATGAACGAAAGTGGGGCTTCAGTGAGTGTAAAAATAAACCAATGAATAACTCATCAGATTTTTGTTCTTTGATCAGGTGCGAGTGGATGCAGCATTCCATATGACCAACACGTCCAGAAGTTTTTTCTTTGTCGGTCAGAGACTTGTAGAATATGACCACGATGTCGGGGCCCAGATTGCGAGCAGGTAAAATTTTGTGTGTGTATGTGTGTATGTGTGTGTGTGTGTGTGTGTGTGTGTGTGTGTCTCGTTTTTAATTAATTAATACTGTTTTCACGGGAGTCTCTCGTATTTGTAAAATGTGTATTCTTTATTCGATGTGAGCCTATGACCTACGACAGTAAATACAGTAACTACTAATAACCTTTGTATCTTTACTTTCAACACTGACGTCATATTTGCCTGACATTTTAGAGGAAATCAAACAGCTGGGGAAGAAAACGCAGCAAGAGCATTCTAATTCTAAGTCCTTTAATTGGCATTTCTAACCCTGTAATGTTAGTGAAAGTAGACAGTTTTTTAATTGTTTTTTTTAAAGAGCAGTTCGCTCAAAGCGCATTCTGAGACCTTACGAGTGGATGGTTGGCGCGTGCTTTGGTAGTTTGCTACTTCTCTCCTATCAAACATCTATCGCTCTTATCTCCCCTCCTTTTAATTGGCATTTCTTACCCTGTATTTTTAGCGAAAGTAGACAGCTTTTTTTTTTTTTTTTTATGAGCAGTTCGCTCTAAAGCGCAATCTGAGACCTTACGAGTGAATGGTTGGCGCGTGCTTTGGTGTAGTTTGCTACTTCTTTCCTATCAAACATCTATCGTCCTTATCTCCCCTCCTTTTATTTTGTGTTTGTTACTCTGTTGTAACACATCTACCCCCCGGCACTTATAGGACCTTATTGCGTTGCAAGTGCCGTAAACCTCTTACTAAATCTAAGACTTTACTTGAGTTTGTGGTGTAGTGGTTAGTTGCTTCACCAATGAACACAGAAGACATGACGCTGTCCAAGAACTGCAAAGCTCTATCTGCTCAGTACCTAGTTTAGAGAAATTTGACATCAGACGGTTTGGGTTTCACAATATGTCAAGCTTCTTCGTGTGCAATTCTTTGAACATCTTGATAAGGATTCCGAATAACTAGATGAGTTTGATAGAGAAGATGGAATATTTGGTTGCTGGTCTTATTGTCTTACTTACTTACTTACTTACTACCTGTTACGCCATCTGGCGTTTAGGGCAGCAACAAAGAATCTCCAGCTCTGTCTGTTTTGGGCCATCTTGGTCAACGTCCCCCATGAATGATTCCCATTCTCTTAGTAACTCAAAAAGGCAACAATTTCAGGTAGAACTTTGTAATTCTAAGGTAGCATTGAGTACTGTTGCCTGTAGAGTATGTTTTTGTCATTGACCGAGTATCTCCGTCGAGTATAGTGTAATATAGTGTAAAGTGCATAGAGCCTGCTGATGAGCGGGGATATGCGCTATACAAATGCTATCTATTATTATTATTATTCCCAGAGCTTACCAGATTCTGTGGTGTAGCGGTTAGGTGCTTCACTATCGAACGTAGAAGACATGAGTACTAATCCCGTGGTTTTTTGTATTTTGTTTTAAAAAAGACGCATTAATCGAGCATCTTTGTCTGTCTCTCCGGGATGTTGTATACGTCTCAACCATGGGTAGGCGCTGACAGGCAGGCGTGAAGCAGCCTTGCCTTGTATTATATGATCTAAACTTACTTGTATCGATGGGGAAGTAAAACATAATATTGTCGGCAAGCCGTTAAAATATATTAAGCCTAAAAAACAAAACTGCCCTTGAGAGAGGGAAAAAGCCTGTTTCATTCTTTTTACTACTGTACCTAAATTATGTATTTTACTTTTCTTACATTTTCCAACATTTAGAATTTGAATTCTGACAAAGTATTTCTTCAGCACATGCAACCAGTATCAGATTATTTAGGAAACTGAAAATTTAAAAATATATATTATATATAGTTTTGGGCGTAATACATTTTAACATCCGACCGACGAATTAACATTGTGTTCCTCAGATCTTTGGACGTCTTGAATATCAGCACTCACGGGGACGTCTCCTCGGCATTTTTCCATGAGACGACTCGGAAGATACACGTATTTCAAGGTAAGATTTCTTGGAGGGTACACCTCATATTTCAAGGTAACATCTCACGAAAGGTACACGTATTTCAAGGTAAGATCACCAAAAGTACACGTATTTCAAGGTAAGATCTCATCAAAGGTAAACGTATTTCAAGGCAAGATCTCACCAAAGGTGAACGTATTTCAAGGTAAGATCACCAAAAGTACACGTATTTCAAGGTGCGATCTGACGAAAGGTACACGTATTTCAAGGTAAGATCTCACCAAAGGTTCATGTATTTCAAGGTAAGATCATCAAAGATACACTTATTTCAAGGTAAGATTTCACGAAAGGTACACATACTTCAAGGTAAGATTTCTTCACAGAAAGTACGTGTATTTCAGTGTAAAACTTTACGGAAGGTACGTGTATTTCAAGGTAAAGCTTCATTTTCTTTCCCAGAAACTTGTGTTCCTTTCCCCCTTTTCTTAAAGGTGTCGGGATGGAGGTTGGGGTGTGCGGAGATGGCTGATCAGGGCTGCCTTCACCTGGAGTGGATGAGGGGGGGCAGGGGATTTGTTGAGTGGCTGCACTACATTTAGATTGCGGAAGGTAGAGCTTTATCCGTTTGTTCTCAATTATTGCTGTATTTCTGTTGTCTCTGCCGACTCGGACATTAAACACATACACTTTACTTATAAACTTTACAGGCTGCCGTAAAGTGGAGCTTGACCCCGTTACTTTGACCCTTGTCTCCGGGTCAGAGATCACTCGAGACCCGTGCACACCCGTAGACGCCGCTCTCACGTGGAATGGGATGCAGATTCTCTTTGAAGGTGAGTTGTCTGTGCTCTTCTCTAACGTCTGGATTCTCCTTACAATTTCAGCAGCACCAGCAGGAGCAGGAGCAGAGTCAATGGCAGAAGCAACACCATCAGCAGCAGCTGCAGCAGTGTAAACACACAGCGGCAGCAGCGATAGAGGCAGCAACCGCAACAGTGGCAGCAGCAGTAGCGAAAAAAATAGCAGCAGTAGCAATAGAAGCAGCACCAGCAGTAAAAACAGGAGTAGCAACAACATTAATTTAGCAATAATAATCATTGTCTTCAGTATTCCCGCTCCTCGTCTATTGAAAATCTGGTCACTTATCTTACTCATTGAGTAATAGATTACTGAGGTAGCTAACAATACTGGATAGGAGAGTAGAGAATGGATAAAAAATTAACAGCGAATAATTTGTACTGATGAAAAATTAATGTCACGTATCACTGCCGATAGCAGTGTTGTTCCCTTTTCTTAAATGGTGTGCTTATCTGCATAAATAAATAATAATATGTTTAGTTGGTTAAACATTATTTTCACGTCAGTTGTCCTAGTGTTGTTGGTTTTGCTGTTGATAATACAGTCGTTGTTGTTTTTGTTACTATTGTTATAGTTGTTATTGTTGTTGTTGTTGTTACTATTGTTATAGTTGTTATTGTTGTTGTTGTTGTTATTGTAGCTGTTTTGGTAGTTGCCGTTGCACATGTTGTTGATATTGTTGTTAATCTTCGCTGTGTTGTATCAAAGATGGAAGCACAAAAACTCAAAACAACAAATAAACACACACACACAAACACACAAATACACACTCACACACACACACACACACACACACACACACACACTCACTCACACACACACACACACACACACACACACACACACACACAACTCGTTAGACGTTTCTCAATCTTTATAATTTTATTTTTCTCTAGGTTGTCACGTACATAATCCTTCCTCACCGGACTTGAGCCCAGAACAGTTGGGGTTCCCCTGTGATGTGGACGCGGCTCTGATGCATGATGGTCATGTCTACGCCTTCAAAGGGAACGACTACTACCGCTATGACACCAGGCAAAACCAGGGTCGGTTGGTCGGCCGGACGCTGGACTGGACAATTGACGCCGTGCAGTGTCCCTGATTATTTATGTCACGACGTGGTGGAGCAAGGATCTTGTCCAATATTTGAGCATAGAGTTATCAATATTAATATAACGTGTCCATTTGTCTTTAATTTGATGGGAAAAAAAACCTGACCATCTATCTTGCTTAGAAATCGAGATATTTGCGATCGAAGGAGGTGGGGTGTCAGAGGTAAACTAGCGAGAAAATGGCTGCCAAATTTGATGACATCCAGAGCTTGAGTGGCCTTGGAAATCGTAAATTTACCTTTCTGTGGCTTCGATCTATGTTTTTTTTCAGTAAAACCCAAACAGAAATGTGTTTTTAAAAGGACATACAAGGTGTTGAGTCAAAACATGAACATCAATAAGAATAGACCAACCTCCGGAAAAATGTTGGTTTCTTCAATTTCGTTATATTGACGAGCGCCTGATTTCACCACGATGCCTCACATTTGTAAAAGAGTTGGACAAACAAGGCCATGGTGCGTAACTGACTGACTATATAGGCGTTGGATATCAA